CGACACAACCTCACGTATATTATTCTGGGCAAACATACATTCATGGACGTGGGGCTGTGTGCGTTTAAGTGTGTGTTAATTGTTAAAGACACAACACTGCATTAAGCCTGCTTGTTTGTGCCAGCTTGCTTGTTTACATACCTTAGTGTCCGATACGATGTTCGTTGGTCTGAGCTTGTTCGGTTCGGTTGGTTGTCTGTTGTTTGCATGCCAAACGAGACTGTCTCAATGAATGTTTTTCTTCTTCTTCTTCTTTTGTTCGACAAGAAAGAGAGTGTCATCCGGATCCGGCGTGTTGCTGCTACTGATGTTGTTGCTCTTCTTGTTGTTGCTATTCATCATTTTCATGTTAATTTCTTCTTCGAAATGGCCATAAGGTGTGAGTGTGCGTATGTGACTATCCATCCATGGCTGCGCAAGAGTGTGCGTCTGTGTGTGTGTCTGTGTGCGGCTATGCACTTGCTATTTGTTGTCTTGTTAATGATTTTCATTTTTCGCTATTTCTGGTTTGTAAATGAAACGCATAAACTTTATTGTTGATGGCGTCAAAAACCATGATTTTGGAAGTCAAGTGGAATTTTTTTGGGAGAGTGGAGGGACAAGTGACGCTCTAATTGTAACAATTTTACAAGTTTTCTTCCAAATGCTGATTGGTGTGATTTTTGCTGTAGATCGAAATATTTTTAGGCCACCAAAAAAAAAAAAAAAAAAAAACGAATCGTATGGGAAAGTCTTAATATGGCAAAGCCCCAAAAAGGGCGTGGAGGGAAATTCCAGCATTGGGTAGAGATGACCTTTAAATGTGCCTTCGACTATAGCGAGTTGGTATTCGACCGAGCTCGTTTATTTAAAAGAGGAAATATTAATTTTCCATTATAGCAGAAAATTCTGCTAAAGCCTTCTAAATATTGAATATCGCCCTGCAAATATCAATGAGGGCTATATTACATTTATTGTATTTACACAGACAATTTTTCGAAAGCAGAATTCTAAATGCTAATTGATGACTTAAAATTCCGTTAAAAATATGTCTTAACCCCCGAAACATGCTGACTTAACTCACATGGCCAAATTTGAATATCAACGATTCTGATGACTTAAAATTTATTCGAACAACATTTTAATCAATTTGTGAGAAAATAGAGTTATTTCTATAGATTGGCGAACATTGCTAAAACGAAGTAGAATTTTAGGTTGCTAATGATTTTCTTTAGTATTTGGGGTATAAAATCATTATTTCGATAATTTCGGTAATTATCCTTTTTATTGGGGAGGGAATAAAAATTGAATATCCAAATCTCTCTGAAGCCTCTGTCAAGGTTGGGTGTCACATGGAGGTTCCTATGATTGAAGAACAAATACATTTTGAAACATGTTGGTTATGTCATTTAATTTTATCCTATATTAAGTATTTAAAAATATGAATTTTAAAATCGATATTAGATAACTAACGAAATTGAATCAATTTTTGTTTTAATTTTTCTGAACTTTGAAAAATATGTTTGGGAAACATTTCGTTTTTTTCTACAAACCTTAAGCCAATGTCTATAAATATAAATGTATGTATGTTGGTATGCTGGATGTTGCTAATGCAAAAGAAATCGAATAAATTAAGAAGTCCATGTTTTGCAATAAAAATTACGCAACGCAACTTAGTTTGCCATAAAACAGATGTATGGCTACAGCAGTTAGTTCGATTTGCATTTCAAATTTGCATTTTTCGTTGATAATGCCGACATTCAAATTAAGAAGATGAAAAAGTAGCCGTCCATTAAACAAAATTTGTTTTTATGGCGAATTTATAATTATTTTTAAAATATCTATAAAAGTTAAGTGAAAATATAATATTTACCAATTATTTCAAATCACATTTGAATATCCCTGCCAAAATTTGCGGTAGACAAATCTGAAGATCTAGAATTGCTAAGAATTCTCACATAAATTAAAGGTCATAATCGTTAAAAATGAGTTAGGAAGATGTTTATAATCGAATATTTGATTCAGATAAAAAACACATAATTCGAAGGCTGTATCACTTAAACATAAACAGCGAATTTGATGATAGATTAATATCCAAAGCCTATCTCCAGTTTTTTAGGCTCAAACCACATGCGACCAAAAGTTGTATTTTATTTAATTTTTAAATATAAAAAATGAAGGGTGAGATGAAAAAACTGCAATCAACTTCAGACTGCTGCCTTTTCTAAGCCACTCGTCCGCCAGCTGTTAAAATTATCCCAGTGACAGCTCATTATATTGTTTGCAAGCGTACAAAAGCATTTTGGTGAGAATTTTTCAGAAAAAAAGTTATTCGTTATGAAATTCAAACATGATAGTGTGATTTCTTTATATTTGGCTGGAAAACCACAATTGGCTACCGTTAGAGCACTCCAGCATTTAAATGTGAATAAATCTTTGGTGTCTCGTACCATCGCTCGTTACCGCGATACTGGTAGCGTAGCCCGACGTCAAGGAAGTGGACGGAAGAAAACACCAACATCAGCAGAAATGGTTCGAAAAGTAAAGAAGCAACTTGATCGAAACCCGCGTCGCAGTGACCGAAAAATGGATCGTAAATTCCATTCGGTAAATATTGAAGAATGAGCTCGGGGTAAGGCAATTGAAATTCCAAAAAATGCAAGAACTTACACCGCAACAGCAAGAAAATAGACTCAAAAGAGCTAAAGAGTTGATTGCCAAAAAGTGGAGAACAGCCGAATTTGGTTTTCTCCGATGAAAAAACATTCGTTGTCCAGCAGTTTGTAAACACACAAACAAAAAAGGGCGTGTTTACTTGCCAAAGAGGTCATCTGAAAATGTGCACCTTCGGTTGGCCACCAGAACTCAAGTGCCAGCCATAGTGATGGTGTGGGCAGGTGTGGACAGCCGATGGTCGCTCTCTGGAGGGTGTATTAAAGCCAGGCACACATTTTGGCCGCAGACCTTGGACATTCCAACAGGACTGAGCACTATCGCACTCAGCAGGTGCCACCCAAGAATGGTTACAAAATGAGGTTCCTCGCTTCATTTCCAGCGTACAATGGCCACCAAAATCTCCGGATACCAATCCATTGGACTATTGTGTCTGGAGTATTTTGGAAAGCAGGGTTGACACTAAAAAATACCCTAGTGTCGATCACCTCAAGCAAGCGCTTCGTCGGGAATGGGTCAAAATACAGTAGAGCAACATTCGGGCAGCGTGTGATGGTTTAATTGGCCGTTTGAAGGCCATAATTCGTGAAAAAGGTGACCAATTCGAACAAATCTAAACTTATTCTAAAATATAATGCTATTTCCGATATTTTCGTTTTCATTCAAAAAAATTTAAAAAAAAAAAATTAAAATTGTGGTGTTCGACTTTGTTGCAGTTTTTTTTTATCTCACCTTGCATATTGGTTGTATTCGAAATTCATAGAAATACTACGGCGTGACATTTATATTTTAAATACTTTTTCCACATTTTTAATTTTTTAGGATTTTAGCAAAAGGAGGGGGCCGACATTACCCTCATTCAGGCTCCATATAGTTCTGGAATGATACGATATTCGAGAGCAGTTGTCTGTATTATTCGGACATACCGTCGCATGAACAGGTGGACATGATAGAACCGAGTCAAAATGTCCTAAAAGGGATTAAATCAGAAGGGACAGTGACATAAAGATTTAATCAAAAAACAGGAAAGTGTCTGAAGCAGATGAGGTACTGTCCTTAGGCTTTCGAAGTTCTCTACCTCTAATACTGGTTCTTGAAATTCTTGGTATTGGCCGTAAAAAATGTCAATTCAAATTGAAATCCCCAGAAAAAGCAATGGCTACAAATATTTATATCCATCTTATATTCTTGTAGACTTTTTGGTAAAAATCTCCATTTGAAAAAAAATTTTTTTTGAAATAATTGGTTCTGATAATGAAAAGTCTTTTTTCCCTAAGTTTTGTGAGTTTGAAAAGTTCCAGATTGGATCGACATCGGTCTTTCACCACAAATCTTCACAAGCTATATTGGTATTTTTCATTTTTCAAATGTTGTTTCAATTTCCTGTTCCAATAAGCCTATCCCGAAAAAAAGCATTTTTAAAAGCTTAAGAAGTTCCTTTCAAAAGTTTGCTCTCTATCGACATCCTTGTTGATTGATACCTGACGATAAAACATTTTCAATGTTTTCAAAAAATATCCATAAAAAACTCTCCTTCGATACAGAACCGCCTCTAATCAAAATGAAATATGTTATCCTTTGAAATTTTAGTTATCTCCGTCCGTCCTACTAATAATATAAAAGCCCATTCATAGTATAACAAAAAAATCATAAGATGTACCCCCTTTTCTTCCTCTATTAAGATTTATTTGCTGCTGCTGCAGTGTTTATTATGCATACATTTTGAGGCATTTACTGAAAGTGGCAAAAATTGTAGACAACAAGGCAAAAACAAAAACAAAAAAAAAAAGAGACAAATAGGCAGATGGCAACGAGTCACACAGGCCAACAACAGCAACAAGAACAACAAAAAGCTTTCACTGGCAACAACATGTTGGCCATAACAATGATAATGATGGAGATGATCTTCATTATTATTGTTGTTGTCGTCAATGGCAATGAGGACAACAATGACACACAAAAGACAAAAGCAACAACTACAACAACAGCAACATAATAATAATAAACAATTTGCACAACGCGATACTGAAACCAGACAAACAACTGGCTTAGCTACGCTAAGTCAGAGCTGAGCTGAGCTTGGCTTAAGTGAGCACACAACAACAAATAGTTGTCAATTGGCCAACAACAACAACAACAACACCAGACCCAATTGCTGTGTTTTATTTATTTACATTTGTTGCTGCTGTTGTTTTTCTAAATTATTGAAATTATGCCATGATACACTTACGATAAATTGCCATGAACACACACTTGCGTTCTTTGCGATTGACAAGAACAACAAAACTGACAACAACAGGTTAATGGAAAGAGGAAATATTTTCCGTTTGTTGGTATTTGTGACTTACCTCCACTGGTCATTCTAAATCCATGTGATAACGGCACTAAGGCCACAAGAGCCAAAAGCAGGACAATTTCTGGAAACGGCCGCCTTGTGTGGTTTAAGGATCGCCCGGTGAGCGATCTTTTGGAATTTATCCTTGACATTGTTGTCTCTCTCTCTGTCTTTTTGTAAAATTTATAAAATGTGATTTTTTTATTTCTTTCTTTTTTCAAATGTCGTTTTTGTTCAAAAAAATAAAATGACACTAACTAAAAATTTAAAAAAATTAAGAAAAATTTAAATAAATTGAATAATTTAAATAAAAATAATTCGCGTTGTTCCTCAAATCGTATTGAACTCAAACAAAACAAAAGACTTAAGCGACAAACTCGTTTTCCCTGATCACATTGAGGTTCGTCTGTTTGTTGCATTTGTTGCTGCATACGCACAATTATCGTTAGATTGTTATTGTTGTTATTTTTCTGTTAGAATTCGTTGCATTGCAATTTCTGCATTGGGCAGGTGAGAGTGTGAGTGCGCGCGTGTGTGTGTTTGCGTTTTGCTTTTAATCGAAGAGAAATTCTAAAAGTAATTAGTTTGTTTCGGTTTTTGTTTTGTTTTGCTGTTTATTTTTTTTTTCTTTAATTTTTATTATTAGCACTTTGTTCTTGTTTCCTTCTTTATTGTTTTGTGTTTTTCTTGTTTTTTATTTTTTTCTTGTTATTTGTTTAATTTCATTGGTATCGGCTCGCGTTTTCTTCTTCTTTTAAGATTTCCTTTTTAGGAGTTAACATCGAAGAGCTCTTGAAATATTTTACACTTCATTAAAACGTTTTGCTTTTCTTTATTTCTTTCACTTTTGTTCCTTCCTTTCTGTTTGTTTGCAAACCGAGACACACGCACAACTACGCGATGACCAAGGAAGGGTGTCGGAATGGTAAGGTGTTCGTGTTTATCTAATTTGCATACACCTGCTGCTCCAAAACTGTCCAATGCGCGTTTGAGTTCGAAAAGCGTGTATTGGAAATGTTGTGGGGTGGAGGGTGCAAAAATGGTTACCGCTCGCCGTCAGAGTGGCAGAAATGGAAATAATGTTACGTTATGAAACCACCGACCGACCGTTGTTAACAATTCGGACGTCCATACGCTTGGACGTTGCGCCAGTAAATGTTTAAGTGATGACCAACATTAAAGCATTCTTCTGTTCAGTTGCTGAGAGTTGGTCGGTTAGCTCGTTGGCTGACTGACTGGCTGGCTGACTAGCTGACTAGCTCACTAGCTGACTGTGTGTGCAAAGAAGAAAAGATAACGGACTTCGAATTTTATGCTTAACAAACTTTCACTTTAGACATGGAGCGCAGAAGCACACCGACCGACCGACCGAGCGACCAACCGATCGACCGCACGATCAACAATACCTGAGATTGAGTACGCTGGGCCAGCTCTTTTTAATGCGGCAGCTCAATAAAAACTCTCAACAACGGTAGCACCAAAAACAAAAAACCAAAATACCCGGTTTTGTTTGTTTTTCCAGTCGGCCTGTCAGTCAGTCCGTTTGTCCGTCTGTCTGTCTGTCTTCAGATTATTTTTGGAGCAGCATCTTAAATTGTCAAAAAAGAAGCATTTGTTAAACGATCTCCATTCAAAAGCCTATTGGTCATGCGCACTTCAATCGCTCTTCACTTGTCAATTGCCACCGGTCTCTGGCATGAATGCACTTTATGTTGCCTTGATTCGTTTCTGATTGTCTGGTGTGCTGTGGTGTGGTTTGTGTGCGCGTTTGTGTTTTCTTTCTTTCTTGCAACTGTAACGGTTACCGTTCGTTTCAATACCTCGAAGAAGTAGAAATAAAAAAACGTAAAGTTCGAACACTTAAAACTTCCACATGACCGTACCCTACGAAATCTCTTGAATAACTGAATCGCAGCTCGGCGGTCTGAAGTATTTTTAGTTTTGATCGCAAGCTCATGTCGTAACAGCTCGCTTAACATTGTTATGTTAAGCTCTCGCTCTCTTGTTGTTGCTGTTCCTCATCGTGGGTTCTCTATGACCACAAATCTAAGCCACTGTTAATGTTCGAATTGAGCAGAGAGTGTGGAGAGGCAATGGTCTTTGAGTTGTTGAATTTTCGGAAATCCGATTTTTGTGTTTACCATGTGTCTTAGGAGTTTGAATGACAATGTTGTCCCTCAAACGATCAATATTTCCAACATATCAAAGGGTCAACATTTTGGATAGTCAACTTCAATGAAATGCGAAATAATACTCGGATATTTAATTTTAGATCGGATGTAAAGATGATTTGCTCCGATTCACTAACATCTGGTAATCCATTAAAAAAAATCAGAAATTATATTTCTGGAAAATTGTCATACTTATATATTAGTCGGGGTCAAGTTATCCCGTTTTATTACACGAAATTTGAAACAATTCGGGTGAATGATGCCGCTTAAATCATCAAAATACCGAATATCGGGAGGTACATTAAAAATGTGGACCGACATGGCCCATTTAAGAACTTAACCAGCCTTAACCGAAACACACATGTGTGCAAAATTTTATTCTTCTATCTCAATTCGTTCGAGAGGAAGCCTGATTACTACAGACATATAGACATACACAGAGACAGACGGACATCGCTAAATCGTCTTAGAATTTTACGTTGATGCAGAATATATATACAGGGTGAGATAAAAAATGCAACAAAGTTAAACGCCACAATTTTACATTTTTTTTAATTTTATTGAATGACAGCAAAAAATGTCGCGAATAGCATCAAATTTTAGAATAAGTTTGGTCGCCTTTGGTACGAATTATGGCCTTCAAACGGCCAATGAAACCGTCACACGCTGCCCGAATATTGCTCTGCGGTATTTTGGCTCATTACCGGCAAAGCTCTTGCTGGAGGTGATCGTCACTTTGGTATTTTTTAGTGCCAACCTTGTTTTCCTAAATACTTCAGACACAATAGTCCAACGGATTGGTATCCGGTAGTTTTAGTGGCCATTGTGCGCTGGAAATGAAGCGAGGAACCTCATTTTGTAACCATTCTTGGGTAGCGCGTACTAAGTGCGATGGTTTGAATGCCCAAGGTTTGCGGCCAAAATGTTTGCGTGCCCTAGGCTTTAATACACCCTCCAGAATATTTTCGCAATAATATTCGGCATTTATTCTGATGCCACGGTCGCTTAATATGAGCGGAGAGCGACCATCGGCTGTTATGGGGGCCCACACCATCACCATGGCCGGCGCTTGATATCTGATGGCCAACCGAAGGTGCACATTTTCAGCTGACCTCTTCGGCAAGTAGACACGAACATTTTGTTTGTTTACTACGCTACCAGTATCACGGTAACGAGCGATGGTACGAGACACAAAATCAAGCTTTAATTCCATCACGAACAACCATTTCAGGACATTTAAATTCGGCCCAGCTGTTTGCCTTGCTATTGTGCATGAAAACTCTCGAAGGTAGTACGTCCGACTTCGTCAAACTTGGGTGTTTGGTGATGGCCACTATGGACCCACACCTTTTGATACCTCCCGCACAAAAGGGTCAAAATAGAAAGGGGAAGAAAACTTTGTTAACCCTAATATTCATATAAGCGCTAGGTCAGGTACGAAAATGGACAATATCGGCACATTCCTTTTAGCACCTTCCTCACAAAGGGTAACAATTTTGAATGATCATAATTCTTACAAAATTTGAAATAAGAGTCAGATTGTCTTCAAAATGTATACATTCCAATATTTCTACCACCTCTAGTTCTGGTATGAATACATATAGTACAGAACGAACCTCATCTTCCGATAGCTCCATACATCAAGTCAGAATTTTGAATAATTCAATCCTTATATAATGGAAAACAATAAAGCGATGTTCTTTAAACTTTGTAATCTCTATATTTCTGTCAACCATACCACAACCATAGGACTTATCGGTCGACTCCCTCTGGAACTTCTTCCACAAAGGACCTCCCTCACAATGATTAATAATTTTGAATAATCACAATTCTTACAAAATTTAAAATAAGAGTCAGATTGTCTTCAAAATGTATAAATTCCAGTATTTCTACCACCTCTAGTTCTGTTATGAATATAGTACAGAACGAATCTGAATAATTCAACCCTTATATAATGCAAAACAATGTTCTTTAAGCTTCGTAATCTCTATATTTCTGTTAATATAGTTCTCGTGGGAATATAGGACTTATCGGGCCACTCCCTCTGGAACTTCTTCCACAAAGGGCCAAACATAATATATTCGAAAATATATTCGATATATCATAGCATAATATATTCGCCTCTATTGGAGCAATAGTGAAATACAAGTCCATATTCAGTTGAACGACCAACCGATATAGTTCGAACATTGCAAATCATTAGGTTTAGATATGACTTAGGTCCTACAAAATTGGTTAACTCATAAAATATATATATTTTTTAATCGTACAAACATCTCATATAAAAGAAATAGGGTACCTTACAACGTCTTAATTAGGTCTGTGTAGTTTTTATTTAAGGCTTAGGCCAGGAGAGAAATTGACAAATATTGGCCCATTTATTTTACTTTCAATAACTTTCGAATTTTATTGAAAGGGGTCATGACCTTAAAATAGTTCTTCGAAAAAACAAAATCAATCATATATCCTCAGCAGTAACAGTATCGGATTATTATGATTTCGCTCTACGAAGCAGATATAATGCAATCGGAGTCATATAGTAAAGGCTTTAGGGGCATAAAATTGAAAAAAAAAATCCCATAGCTATTGAATGGACATGTGCCTTTGTCGATGGAATCAATCATTGAACAAAATCCAACACACTCACACAAATATGCATGCATAGACGTGCAACTCATGCACTTGAAGAATCACTATTTTCACTTTCTTCTTTGCAAAGGAAGTTGAGGTGTTTGTTTGCTCTTATCGCCCTGCGTTGTAAGCGAAAGAGTTGCGGCAATAGTGGTTAGCGGTTAGCAACGGTGTCTACTTGATGGGTCATACTTGGCACTTTAGTGGTGACTACCACAATTGAGAATGTTTGATGGGTACCAACGTCAGTGGTAATTACTTGTCAACACGATGATTACACGAGATTTGGTGAACTCAGGATAAACAAAGACGGACACACGATAGCCACTTCAAGCAACCAATGCAGAAAACAAAAACAACCGCAACTTCAGCAGCGACGTGGAAAGTGAGAGTGTGTGTTGTTGGCTATTTGTTTTTGTCATTTCTTTGCTCACCTTCCATTTGTTGTGGCCATTTCAGCAGCAGCAGCAGCTTCATTTCAATTGTCTGAGTTGTTTGTTTGGCCAGTTGATGGGTCCATAATTTAAGGGCTTTTATGTTTTTTTTATTTTTTATTTTCTTGTGATTAGATAACCGCGTACTTTGTTTGCTTAATTACATATTTAGAAAATATGAGGAAAAAAAAAAGAAAATGAAAATATTAAAAAACTCCGGGAATGTCTTCTTCATGGCGGCCACTTTTGAGGAAATCTTGGCATTTTCAAGTGACGGTTGGTATTTCGAAAGGCCCTTTTGTCGTCTTTTGTCTTTAATAGTTGTTGGGTTTTTTTTTTACAATTTTGATTAAAAAGCAGGTGCTATAAGCCGAGTGTTAGAAGGAAATGAATGACATAATAGTGGCGTCTATTGAGTAATTCAACACTTGAGATACTTGCGCAGATATGTGTGTGAGTGGCAGTTTTGCCAGGAATATTCCAATGGTGGCTGTTAAAGAAATGTGTCAATTGC